TATATGTTTTATACTTATCAAATAAGTATAATTTTTATTAAGTATATATATTCATACCTAATTTAATTTAGCTTTAGGATTAAAACACCTTGGAATGCCTATATTCGGACCGATACCGGTTCGTATAAAGTTATACAGACTGTTATCGGTTCGTAAATACACCTGAACAGTAGCTTTTTATTTTTTTTGTTATTTTGTTATTTTGTTCTTAAGTCGTTCTACTCTCGTTTTAAACCGTAACATTCCGAATGTTTGCATACCAAAGTGGTTGACCTTAACAAAAAAAATTAATTTTTTTTGCTTGTGGCTCCAAAAGAGCATTATATAACATTATCTCTAATAAACTTCAACTTATATGTTCATGGTTTTGCAACAATATTACTTCGTACCATCGTAAGATAATTTTAGATAGACAATCGATGGTTTTTTGGTTCCAAGGGGCTATAGGGTCGATGTACATGCAATTGGTTTTCGCAGGAATGGATTTAGGATACGAGAAGATGATAATGTCCTTAAATGAAAAGAATAAAAAATGTGCACTGAGAGAAGTTTCTAGATTTTTTCTAGTATATTCGAACTAAAATCGGTTTGAAAAATGAAAAGCATGGAAGCTTCTGAATTTTTTGCATATATTCAGACCAAAACCGGTCCGCATATATATTCATACTTAATTTAATTTAGCTTTAAGATGAAAAATCCCTCGAAGCGCCTATATTCGGATCGATGACGGTCCGTATATGCCCTGAACAACAACTTTTTTATTTTGTTTGTTATTTCGTGTTTAAATCGTTCTACTCTCGTTTTAAATCATAACATTTCGAATGTTTGCAAGCCAAAGTAGTTAACCTTAAGAAAAAAAAATGAATTTATTTGCTTGTGACTCCGAAAGAGCATTACGTAACATTATCTCTAATAACCTAAAACTTATACATTCGTGGTTTTGCAACGATATTATTCCGTACCATTGTAAGATAATTTTAGGTAGACAATCGATGCTTTCATGGTTCTAAGGGATTGTAAGGTCGATGTACATGTAATTAGTTTTCGCAAGAATGGATTGAGGACATGAGAAAATGGTGATGTCCTTAAATGAAAAGAATAAAAATGTGCCTTGTGGATTTTTTCCCAACATATTTGGACTAAAATCGGTCCGAATATGTTAATGTGATCCCTTGTAGGCTTAATACATATACAGATCGAAATCGGTCCATAATTAATTTATGCGCCAAATTTTTACCATAAATTTGAATCTTTCTGATTGTGCGCTAATTTATTTGTATTCGGACCGATTTCGGTCAGAATATTATTAATGTGCCAAAAATTTTCCCGAAAAAATTGACATTTTTTGGTGAGGCACGCCAATAAGGATTATACGGACCGTTATCGGTATGTATAAGCCTTATATATATCACCACTTCTCATCTTTTTCCTCATTTTCTCTTCTTCCTCTCTTTCTTTTCCTTTCTTCCTCTCTTTCTTTTCTCTTCTGCCTCTCGTCTCCTTCTTCTTTTTCTTACTTTTTTTTTTCTACTTCCTTTTCTTTGTCATTTCCTC